GATCGATCATCTGTTACTCTAAATCAATTTTAATCAATTTAGACAATCGAGTTCTCTTTTTTATTCTATAAATACGAGTTTTTGATTTGTACTATTGATACATACAATTTGTGAAAACATTTGAGAGCAATCTTCGAGCTATCATATCCGTGACTTTCTCTGTGCATTCAAAAGTTTGTTCATATCATAAGGTGCTTTGATCAAGATTGTTGTTCATCAAAGAGAGAAAGTTCGAGTTAGAATTGCTACGGACTTCTATATTGTTAAAGCTATAGTCCGGGTTCATTCTTTTCATATTCTTGTATAAAGTGTGATTGTGTAGATTGGGTGTTGAATCTGCACCGGTTACTGATACTTGGATTTGGTTCTCGGGTGGTTATTCAAGAATCTATCTTGTGGGTTTGTGAGATAGTTCTTGGGGTAGATTGGTGTAAATCTACTGGTTATAATTTTCACTTGGAATTAGTGGAACTTGGCAGATTTTTCAAGAGCTGGATGTAGCTCTGGGAAAGAGTGAACCAGTATAAACTTTTGTATTGTATTTCTGCTTTTATCTCTTTTATTTCTTGTCTATATTCTTGCTTTGTGATTAAAACCAAATCTACCTAATAGAAGAATTGAATAAAGATAAATCATTCTTCCAAAGAAAGTGTGTTTTGCAAAAAAGTTTTCTAAAGTTAAATCACCCCCCCCCTCTTGAACTTAACCATTAATTCTTACAAAAGTATGAAACATACTTTTGAGGATTGGAACAAAATTTAAATTGGCGGATACAGAAACAATTGTAGCTTGAATTAAGAACAAGAGAAATAAATAAATTATGCTCACATTATAAAAATAAATAATTATAAATAAAATATATATTCAAATAATGGTTTAACCCATCTCAAGACACCCAATGCACCATCAATCTCAAGTCTTTGGACAGTGATATTAACTACTAGAGGTATCTTGTTGTAATAATCAAACATTGACAATAAAGCACGTCCAACAACAAACCAGTCTTTGGATTGATTTATCATCGACAAAGCAAATCCTTATAATTATCACATGTTTATCATTACAGGTGTGTATGCAATTCGACCAAATATTAATCTTCCTTTGGGCCGACTAATACTCGCATGAATATACACAAACACTAACATTCAATATTTTTCATGAACTGCCAAATTCAAGAGAAGTTACTTTGGTGACTTCTTGACTCAATTTGCTCACAAAAATTATTAAACTTCCAAAAATTTGAATATTATATAACCAAACCAAAGATTTAATATTTGCAAACTAATTCAAAAGAGAATCACCTCATTTTAACAAATCAAAGGAAGAAAAAATGCCTCATTTTCCACCAATACATAAAGGATGAACATCTCCCTAAAATCACACTAGGGATGAAACAGAGATAGTTCTGAGTCTCTTTAACACACTGCTCTAAACCCTAAAAGGGATTAAACAGTAATCACTCAAACCCTAAACAGGGAATTTAACATCAAATTTTCCTAAAAATAAGAACAGTCACACCTGTGGAAACATTCACCATTTACCTAAGATTCTCTGTGTTTGGAACTCCACAAACACCACCCCCAATTTCAAACCCATAAAATTAAATAAAAACAAAAGATTCAAAAAAAGAACAAAGAACCCAATACAAGAAAGATTGAAATTTGAAACACTATTTCTTTCTCAGTAAAACTTGAAACTTAAACTGAAACAAAAGGGAAAAAATGAAGAAGAAGAAGAATCCATAACTTCCTCCACGATTCCATCAGCAAGCAGAATCAGATTGGGGATGTTACCCCCAAATTTAAATTTTAGTGTTCATGAAAATTGAAGATTATTCTCCACTTAGGGTTCATAAAATTGGGTAATTTGAATTGTTTAAAACAAAATTAATCCTAATTTTCATAATTAGGGTTTTATAAATTAAACAGACATGAATCAAGTATGGGTAGCTCGATACCAATTGTTGGAAAATTAATAATAATAATAATAATAATAATAATAATAATAATAATAATCCTAATTTTGATTCTAACGATCAAATATAAATGTAATCCCATACTGATAAACATGTTGTAAACTGAATGCAAAAGCATACCCGAATTAGCCATAATGATGATGTCTTTGTAGAGCACTATATTGATCTTATGGTCTTCCACCTGAAGAGCACCTGTATTTCCCTCTTGATTTTCTCTCTTGATGGGGATAGAAAGAAAGGAATGTGACTGATACTTACGTTCTGTGTGTGTGCTCCCAGAAGGGGACCACGACCCCTTAAAATAACCAGAATTAGGTTAATTACTTAAGTTTTAGTATTTCCAATTTGGCCCCTCATCAAATTAGAAATTGCTCAATGGTCTCTACACAATTTTATTTTCATGACATATGCCTTTAGCCAAAACTTTAATTTAGTCAGATCACTTTATTATTTGGCTTAATAAATAATGACCCTAACACATTTAAATTATGTATCATATATATATACATGACCCAAATTTTGCCAACATGAAATACTTTTGTTGAATACATTTTTTTTGAATTTTGAATTATTATTTTTTAACTTTTATGATGTTGTAAGTTTTGTTCTTTTTTTAAAACTTAATCAAATAATACGTAAACAAAAAAACTAGTACAACTTTTTCATAACATAAATTAAAAAAGTAATACAACTTTTCCATAAATATTGTTACACTGGTGCATGAATACAACACAACAATCACTCAACTAAACAAAAAGTAATTAAAATGTAAGTAGTTGTCAAAGTAAATAGTCCAAAAGTGGTAACACTTGCCCATCAAAATATCACAACTCCTAACAATCTTCACATTTTTTCTTAATGACATCTATTGAACAAACTAGGGCCTTAAATTTGGGTTATATTAAGATTTGGTTCTCCTCCCTTCCTCTTTACTAATGTGTTTAACTTGAACGAATTAGATTTGGATGTGGTCTTCCTTCCCACTGTTGGCTGAGCAAATCTGAATGTGGGTTGCTATTCACATCATAGGTGAAACCTCTACTCCTATTTGTTCTTCGTGTGGTTTTTGTTGTTTTGAAATTATCTTTTCCCTACATACACAATGAACATGAATATTATACTTTGTATAAAAGTTCCTATAATAGATTGTAATAGATTGTTTCCAAGTTATCTTTGTAGTTTTTTGGTATCATGAACTAATTGATTTATATAAGTTATGGAATTGTGGCCAAATTAATGATAGAGGTTGCACCTTACGGTTTTTTCCTAATAAGGTTTGAACGAGTTAGAGACTCATTAGCCTCTATCTTCCTCAAATTTCTAGGTTCCTAGAGGTGTCTTATATATATTGAAGGTGAATTTTGTTGTGAATTTGTTCTTAGCCACAATTGTTATCCATTAATGAAAAAAATTTGTTGTTCATAATAGTTTTCATATGCAACCCTTTTATAAAACGTATGAACATATTCCTTAGTTTTCTCTAGCCTATAATTAATTGTAGCAAAAACATGTTTACAAGAGATACCCACTAAGTCCCAAAAATGGCATGTACAATTACAAGTATGATCCTTAAGGTTAATTATAAATTTTTCCATAGTAAACCCATGAGAAACTTCAAACTTATTGTTTTTAGACTACAAAAATAACCAATTTACACTTTTTTTCAACCTCTCTATCTAGCTTTTTCATTGGCTTTGGCATGACATTTCCAATATATTTGACAGTTTCTCCCTAGAGTTACAAACCTACTCATCAAGTATGTTCTAATATACTCTATCATTGTGATTATAGGTTTGTCTCTAGCTAACAATATAGTACTATTAAAAGACTCTAACAAATTGTTAATTAGGATATCATAACTCGGATAACAACTAAAAGCATGTTTGCACAAACACTTACGAAAAATTGAATTAACCACTTATATACTTTAAGTTTACCTTTTTCAACTTTTCCATTTTTGTCTCCCATGCTTGGTAATATGTTGCTTTTGTAAGTCAAATCTCTTATTAGTGCTTCCCCTCCAAATTTCTTCTTGAAATTATAATATAGATGTTTTAGGAAGAACCTATGTTCCACACCATCTAAAATCTCCTCAAAAACTAACATAAGACCCTAAAAAAAGGAATTATGAATTAGTGCAATAGGTCAATAATAATCTATGGCAGTATTTTGAAGTTTTATTTTGTACCTTTTGTTTATCAAATATAGGCACCTAACGATTGGTTTAGATATCACCAAAATCATCTAACAATAAATTAAGAAACCATCTCCAAGCACTACAAATAATATGTTATTTAGTAGAAGTTACATTTTGATGGTGTTAATCAACTACTGTAACTTATACAATTGTGACAATTGATTTGAACCATTACAATGAATCAATTTTTAATTTAAAGTTGAAAAATATTAACTATCCTTCTACGTTCAATTTCTATTGATGTATACTTTTAATTTCGAAAGTTTCTCACTCTAATATTTTGAGATGCGTCTCTCACACTTATTCTTGCCTTTAGCCCCAGATTTTTCATGACAGAGGTGGTTATGGTCGTGACCAACCCATGCTCAACAACGTCTTCGAAAGTGGAGATTTCAACATCAACAACGAGGAAATCCCTAATTGGAGTCTTAAACTACAAATCCACGATGTAATTGGAATTATCGGGTCACATAGGGTTTGCTACATTTGTCCAATCTGAATTTGGCATCGCATCCTTCTTCCTTGAAGAGTTGTTGGAGGAGATCTAGATTATATTTGCAGCAGAACTAAACCACCTCCACCGGCATGGCGAGGCCCTGCTGAGGCGTCGACGAGTTTCATGTCGTCCACATCGACCATAAAATTGTCAAAGACGACCTCCAGCATGTTCTCACAGAGGCGCGACCTTTGACAAGATTAAGGTCGGGGTTGACCACGTTGACACCGTCAATGGCAAGATCGAGGCGTGGATTATCATTGAAGACGGAGAGGGGATGCTTGTGTTAGACAAATGAAATCTAGAGGGGGTGAATAGATGCAAAAATTAAATTAGATTCCAAATTAAAAATTTATTTAATTTAAGATGTCAAATAATTTGTTAATTCAATTTTAATTATCAGATAAAATACAAATATAGCGGAAGCGATATAATCAGAGAGACAAAGGGAAGGAAATAAGTAGATGTTATCACAAAGGTATAAGGAAGAGAAAAGCACACAGTAATTTATACTGGTTCAGGTATAGCCAACCTTACATCCAGTTCTCAGTCAACTCTAATCACAAGAGTGACCCCAATTCACTATCTTTCAAATTCAATTTACAAATTACAATCAACTCAGCAGAGGAACCAGTAAAAAGTAAACTAATTAAAAAGATAATCACCTCCTTAGAAACTCACTAAGGATGAACACTTTCCTAGAATCCCACTAGGGATGAAAACCTCCTCTGAACAAATCAAAGGATGAAAAACACCTCCTTTGCCACCAACACACAAAAGATGAACACCTCCCTAGAATCACACTAGGGATGAACACCTCCCCAAACAAATCAAAGGGATGAAAACACCTCCTTAGAATCTCACTAATGATGAACACCTCCCCGAACAAATCAAAGGGATGAACAGAGAAACACACTTCTCAAGAAACAGTGTCCACAAGAAAACCCTTAAATCATAAATAGGAAATTTAACAACAACCACTTAAACCCTAAACAGGGAATTTAACAACAACCACCTAAACCCTACAAAAAGGGATTAAGGCAATAAAATAACAACAACCACCTAAACCCACAAAGGATGAAGACAATAAAATAAGAACAGTCACACCTGGGTAATGGAGACAAAAAATTGTAGAAGCCTGTAGAATGCCAACCTCCAAGAACAAGTATGATTAACAATGAAAGTGTAGAAGGCAGCAGAGAAGAGGGTTTTCTCAGAAGGTGTAAAATATCTCTGTTGCCTTCCTCATAATTTTTTTCTCAAAATTGATTAAATGTAAATTGTATTTTCGAATTCTGTAATTGTGTATATTTGACTTTTCATCAAAACTCATTTAAATAGGAACATAACATTAGAAAATAACTGTTGGTCATTAATACTTTCGTAGACAAAAAATCAGGATGTATTAAAAAATATTTATTCTTTAAAATAAATATTTTTCAAATTTGAACTGCCATAATCAATTATGTTACCAGTATAATCAATTATGATAGAGAAAATCATTTTTCCATTTTTGATGCATCATTATTGATTATGACAGTGAAAAATATCATGTTACGAAATTTATCACACTTGTACTTTGAAGGCTTATGCATAATATTACTTCATCAACTTGTACCTCCATATCCAGTATTCTAAGATTCTATCTAGTCTTCAGGAATCATCTTGGGCTTGCTTGAATCTTGAATAAAATCTTTATCAAATCATATCTTGAGCTTGCTTGAGTCTTGAATGTTGTTGACTTGAATCATCATCAAAATCATCTCTTGGGAATGTAGGGACATGTTTAACATTGCCATCAATCTCCCCCTTATTTCTTTCAATCCCCCCCTTTTTGATGATGATCAAGGAAACACCTGAAATAAATTAAAATGCTTGACTCTATATAGCTATCTTAAGATTAGCACAGATTTACACAGTATAGTGTAGCACAGATTAACACAATATATTTAAACTTCCCCTAGATATGTTAATAACAAAGCTCTCCCTAACTCATCTGAGCAAAACTTCTCCCAACTCCCCCTGTTTAATTCAGAATTAGGAATAGATTTGATATAGATTTTAATTCATCAAAAAATATCCCCCTATTTCATTGATAATCATAAAAAAATATTTCAAGAGAAAAAAAATTTCCCCCTGTTTCACACAGATTAATATCATCAGAATCTCTCCCTGTTTCATTGATAATTATGAAAAATATTGCACTAGAAATTGAGCACAAATTAGTACATAAATCAAGGTAGAGAAGATAATGCATTACAAAGTGTCATAGAGAAGAACATCATATTAAGGAGGCAATATCTAGGATACCCAAGGCAAATGAAGAGAGAGAAAGATAGGGATATAGAATGATTATAGAGATAATGAAATAGAATGCAGTTTCCCTCAATTACAGTCTTCTTTTAGAAGCAACTTTCAACTTCAAATTCAAATTCAGTCATATTCCAAATTTCAAATTTCAAATTCAAATTGCAAAAAATTTCAAATTCAAATTCCAAATTCCAAATTCTAATTCAAATTCAAATTCAAAAATCTCAAACTGCAAAAATTTCAAATTTCAAATTTCAAAAATCTCAAACTACAAAATTTCAAATTTAAAAAAAAAACTCAAACTGCAAAAATTTCAAATTTCAAAAATCTCAAACTTTCAAATTTCAAACTTTTATAATTTCAAATTTTCATAAATTCAGATTTTCAAAATTCAAACTTTCAAATTTCAAATTTTAAAAATTTAAACTTTCAAATTTCTAAGTTGGTTAACAATCGAATTTATGTGGTAGATAAGTGCAGATATTCAATGCAGAGACATGGGAGACAAGAATAAACTTATCTTTGTGATATTTTCCTATTCATCTAGCTTGTTCCTGTATACCCATTGAGCTCCAATAACTTGCATTGATTTCTTATCCTTGATAATCACCTGCATCATCAACATACAAATCTAGGTACCCTTTGATTATTTTTGGGTCCTTAAAGGTTAGTAAAAACACAAGTCTCAACCAAAAGACTAAGGATAAATGAATAGCAATATGATATAATAGATTATGTAATTCCTGTAATTAAACAAAATTTTCAAACTTTCAAAGTTTTTTGTAATAATCGATTATGACAATTTTTTTTTCTAAAAATTCATAATCTATTAGATGCTCAAACTATCATCTAGACATGTATAAATGCTTTGTTCCTTTAGGCACCCATTCATATTTGCCATTGGATATGTCAAAATATTTTATGTAACATCTATTTAATGTATGACCTAATTTCATGCAATAAAAACATGTTGGTTTTCTTTGAAGAGGTCTAAATGAGTTTCTCAAAGTTTTTGAAATTGGTTTTTCATCTGTTTTCCTTGACTCTTTCACAAAAATAGTTTTATAAGGTTCTAAACTTTCCTTGGGTTTGTAACCAAGTCCAGCTTTGCTAGAATCCACTCTTTAATAACCTAACATAGAATCAAGATTTGCAAAAGATTTAGAAAAATCACCCATTATTTTCTCTAACTTGAAAACCTCATTTTTCAAATAATTACAATTTTCGCAAGGTTCAACAACTTCTTTATTTTTAGACATAGTTTTAAATTTCTCAACATCCTTCTTTAAGCACTCATTTTCTTCTTCAAGAATACTAATAGTATTTTCTGCTGTATAAAACTTTTGTTTAAGTGCAACATGTTTCTTAGCTTCAAGATGTTCAAACATTTCTTGATAGGCTTCAAACAATTCATCATATGCATTTGAGGATTTTGTGCTACTTACTTGTGATGAGGTTTCTTGTGATGATGCTTCATTATCACTTTTTGTCATCAAGCAAAGAATTGCTTCTTCTTCTCCATCACTACTTTCGGAATAAGTCTCTTGTGTTGTGGAAGAATCATTATCCTCCCAAGCAATATAAGATTTGCATTTTCTCTTATAGATACCGTTCTTCTCTTTCTTCTTCTCTTTCACATCTTTCTTCTCTTTCTTAAGTTTTGGACAGTCTGGTTTGATATGGTCAAGCTTTCCACATCCATAACACTCGTACCTATTGATTTTCTCTTTTCTTTACTGTCTCTCTTTCCTGTTCTTCATAAAACAAGAAAATTGTTTAGCTAAAAGAGATATATCAGAATCCGAAAACTTACCTTCATTTTCGCTTTCATCTTGTGAATATTTTTCTGCTTTTAGAGCTATCGTCTTGGTCTGGTTCTATTCACCATTCTTTAACCTTTATAGTTCCATCTCATGCTTTCGCAACTTTCCAAATAGAGTAGCAATATTCATTTCTGTGAGATCCTTTGATTTTATAATAGCAGTGACCTTTGGTTGCCAATTCCTGTCTAAGGATTTCAAGATTTTTGTGTTCAACTCCTCATTGTCAAAACTCTTTCCTAATGCTTTCAAGTGATTTACTATATGTGTGAAGCGTGTCTAGAAATCCATGATGCTTTCATTCTGCTCCTGGATGAGTGTGTTCTTACGTGCTCGCTTTACTTCATTGGTTCCTTCATGTATCACTTCAAGAGTGTCTCATATTTCTTTTGTCGTCTTGCATTGTGAGACCCTGAAAAATTCATTATGAGTTAAGGCAAAAATAATAGCGTTTCAGGCTCTTACATCATATTGGACACACTTGTTTTCATCCAGCGTCCATTGGTCAAAAGTCTTTGGAGCATCTCCAGACTCCGTTGTTCTCATCGGAATGTAGGGACTATTGAGTATAGCATCCCAAACACCATAATCTAGTGTTAGTAAAAATATTTTCATTCTTGCCTTCCAGAACTGATAATCTTCTCTTTCAAATAATGGTGGTCTATTTATTGAGGCTCCTTCCCTGTAAACCTGATTCTGCATAGACATCTTGACAAATCTTTTAGAAATATCTTATCTAATCAAGCTCTAATACCACTTGTTAGAGAAATGACGTCTAGAGGGGGGGGGGGAGTGAATAGATGCACAAATTAAATTATATGCGAAATTAAAAAATTATTTAATTTAAGATGTCAAATAATTTGTTAATTCAATTTTAATTATTAGATAAAATACAAATATAGCGAAAACGATATAATCAGAGAGATAAAGGGAAGGAAATAAGTAGATGTTATCACATAGGTATAAGGAAGAGAAAAGCACACAGTAATTCATACTGGATCGGGTATAGCCAACCCTACATCCAGCACCCAGTCAACTCT